ATTTATATTTGATATTTTGAAACAACTATGAAATAACTCACTATAAAAACTATAAATGGATTCTGATATATACGTAGGTGTTGAATTGATATTCAGATACCAGAAGCAGTGTTGCCATTGGTTGTCTGATTTTTTGAAATGCTGACCAATTTTCCTAGAAAATTTAGTATATATTAAATTCATGCAAGATGACTTTGTTTTTATGTAAAATGGAGTTAGAATCCAAGCTCAGGTGATGATAAATATGTTCTTCATTTACCTGAATGTCTGGCAAGACTTAAGAATTTCATATAGCACATGGAACCAGGTTTCCTTGTGCAGTACTACACTGTACCTTGCAGGATGTCTAACATATGTGACTGGCAACACTCCTGCCTCCAATCACTGCTATTCCTAAAATATTTCACCTGAAAACCTTAAAAACACCTCCAAAGGGAGGTGGTATAGCTTCTGTTGAAGACTACTGTTTTAAACTCTATTTGCCTAATTTAATATTGCTATCCCAGCTTACTGTATAGTTATTGTACACTCACCATGATTCCTTGACTGGAAGTCCTAAGTCACTCTTTTAATAGTTAACTTTATGATTAATTGCTTTGTGACAGTTCTTATGTTGTTGTCCTTATGTTATTTCTCTCCTTACTATTTCTCAGAACTGGTCAGAGGTTTATGTATTTCTTCCTCTCTAGAAATAAGCTTTCTAAATCAAGTTAACCATATAAATTCAGCAACCATTTTTTGAGCAGTCAGCTACTAAATGCTAGGCACTGTGCTAGAGAAGAGATTCTCAACTTATATGTATCTTCCAAGACTACATTCTCCTACAGGGCCATAGTATCATTATTTATACCTTAGACAATTAACCTTAATTCAGTAAGATCACATATAGTCTCTATTAAGATTTCCTTATTTGTTTCCAAAATGTCTTTTATAGCTTTTTTGACCCAGAATCCAATCATGGTCTTATACCTTGATTTCATTTCAGTGATTATATCTGTTAATCTTCTTTAATCTAGAATGTTATCACATATTTTGTTTATTTGAAGAGTAGTGTACAGTTGTCTTTTAGACATTCTGGATTGGTCTAGTTGTTTTCTTATAATTAGACTCGAGTTAAACATTTCAGCAAGTTATCAGAAGGTTGATAATGTCAGATGTTTCACTTTTGGTAATGCTAAATACAACCCCTTGGTTAAGGTGCTAGCCACCAGATCTCTCCATTGTAAAGGTACGTTTTTCCCTTTGTAATAAGTAATCTTGGGGGCATATACAAATTGAATATTGTTGTTTTTACTTAAAATTACTATATGTATTTTCTATGTCATTTCAAACTCACCTGCTATGCTAAATTCTTATGAGCATATAGTTTCTTGATTTTATTAAAAACAATCTATTGAATGCTTACTATGTGTCAACCACTATGTTAAGTAATTTATATATATTATCTTGTTTATTATAGCATTATTTTATCTTCCATAACAATTCTCTGAGATAGAGACTATTATTCTCATTTTGCAACAGAAGATTTCAAAGAGTAGTCATACTAATAATTTAAGTTAAAACTTTGATTCAGTTTGCTTGTCTCCAGAGCTCCAGCACTGTACCACTCTGCTATGCTCTTCTTTGGAAAGCAGATTTAGAGATCCTGTGGTAGCATCAGATAAGTTTAAAAGTCAAGGAGAGGTAGAAATTTTCTTACCTTGGTAATTTTCTTTTCTTTGGTTTTTTTTTCTCTTCTCTTTTTCCTACCTTCCTTCTAATTGTGGTAAAATATACATAACATAAATTTTACTATCTTAACCATTTTTAAATGTACAATTCAGTTCATATTATTGTGCTACCAATCTCCAGAGCTCTTTCATTGTGCAGAGCTGAAACTCTGTACCCATTAACTCCAAATTCCTCCCCTTTCCCACAAACCCTGTCAATAACCATTCTGCATTCTGGCTGTGTGAATTTGACTATCCTAGGTACCTCATATAAATGGAATCATATAGTATTTGTATTTTGTGAGTGGCTTATTTTACTTAGCATATTCAAGTTTCATCCATATTGTGTCAGAATTTCCTTCCTTTTTAAGGCTGAATAGACTTCCATTGTAGGCATATACTACATTTTGTTTATCCATCCATCTGTGGTTGGACACTTAGGTTGCTCCTACCTTTTGGCTGTTGTGAATAATGCTGCTATGACCATGGATGTACAAATATTTTTTTGACACCCTGCTTTGAATTCTTTTGTGTATATACCCAGAAGAAGAATTGCTAAGTCAGATGGCAATTTTATTTTTAATTTTTTGAGGTCTTACCTTTAAACATATTTAAAAATATCAGTTTCTTAAGAATTCTTTTATTAGTAGTACAATGATCTATGTTTAGAAGACAAACTTAAGCAGAAATAGACTTTTTTCTTTACTCTGAAAATCTAAGTAGATTTGAGGGCTAATTCATTTCTGTGGCTTTGATAACTTGAAATGAATATCCCCTTGCATTTAGGCAGGTTTCCCATATTTTGTGGCCTTCTACATTTAATGGTACTTTTTTCTTACTTTATCATCTGTAGTCTATTCTGTACTTTAAAAAAAAATCTATCCAAATCTATTAATACTTGAAGTTGCACTGAAGTCCTATGGAGTTTTCCCCTAAGTGCCCATTCCATCAACATTATGTAAATACTTCTAGTGCTGTACTTTGATTCTTCTCTTTCTAATCTGACTAACCATATAGCTTACTGTTTGTCCCTTTCTAGATGGTAAACTGCAGAAAATTTTGGCCAAATCTTATGCTACTTTTCTGGTTACATCATTCCTTCAACCTCTGCCACCAAAAAAATGAAAAAGAAAGAAAAGTACTCTTACCCCCAACCCCCACCCCAAAGAGATCACCTGGATAAACAAATGATTCACTGGCCCTTAGAAATTATATTAGAAGTATCATGTCACTGTTGTTGCTGTTGTTCTTACTGGGCCTTATGATGTTCCATGGCTTCTAGGCACTGCAAGACAAAGATGAATACGATATACTTCCTGGTCTCAAGATGCTTTATAGTCTAGTAAGGAGATATTTATGTACAAAACTATGTGACAAGTGGTATATTGGTGTTTTGAATGTTGTTCTGAGGTAGTATAAAGAAGGAAGCCACAAATAGTTTCCAGAGAGAGTCAAGGAAGGCTTCAGCAAGGAGGGGATATTTGAGTGTGGCTTGAAAGATAAGTAGAATTTGAGGAGCTAGAAGAAAAGAGAAGAATATTTTATGCAGGCGAAAGACAAAATACAGTGAATTATGAACATATGCATCATCTTGTCCATTTGTTTAAGGAAGTAGGATTTTTTTCTGGTTAGTTTGAAACACAGATTGTTTATTTCTATATTTCACACATTGCTTTAACATCAAACTTTCTTAAAAGCAGACTTTTTGTTAAAAAGTCAGTGATTTTTAGTCAGTTTTTAGATGATGGAAAAAAGAGGGACTTTCAGAATGGAGAGCCCTTATTAAAACACAGATATCTTCTGTAATAGAGTTGGAAAAATACAGTGTGTTCTTTGTATGTAAATGTCTCTTTTAACTTATCCATGCAGGATCTGAAAAGGAAAGCCACTTCTCTTTTATCAATCACGAGGTACATGACAACGGAATCATTGATGCACCAGGAAGAGATTTGGATTCCAAATCTCACTAAGTGATCTTGAAGAGGGGAAAGAGCCAATGTTTTGCATCAGTTTTTCTGATCAGGGTTCCTGTGGCTTAGTGTTTTCCTTCCTCCTCCCCCTTCTTCTGTCTGGCCATTCTGAAACGTTGGTTCTTTGAAGCTGTGATATCTGTCTTGTATTAGTAGATATGTGAATATATGGGATATTGTCATTTCAAGGAGTTTCTGGAGATTAAAGAGTTAAGTAGATTGTCATGTTATCTACTGGAATTTCCACTTGGTCAAGTATAATATTCTGAAATAATACTCTTGAAGTCCATAAGATGATGATATTTTTGCATAGTAAGTCCCTGTTGTACAAGATCTGAAATAATTTTTTTTAACCAGAAAGTAATGAAGTCTTTGGTACTTCAGTTTTCTGCTGCCTTATTCATAATTTCTCAGTAGGAACCACACATTTCAGTGAATAATTAGGCTTTTTTTGGGTAAGACAAACTATTTTCTCTGGTGGTCTTATTTTGCTACTACTGAAACCACATTTAGAGGGTGAAAACAGTTAATTTTCTTACCAGTATTGTAGTTTTTGAAACCTGTGGAGTGTGAATTGAAATTATAAAATAATATTTTTACATGTAAAATAGATTGAATTTTATAGAGGATGAATTCTTTAGTAGTGGACTTTCCTCTGTACATATTAGTAATAGTGTGAGTGGTGTGGCCCATGTGTTTTGTATCTGACCTGAGTGTGTTTAAATGATTATAAAATACCTTAGGTTGGGTTACTACAACTTTAGCTTTGAACAGTTCCCTGAATTCTTTCTATATTTAACATAAAATGCTTTTTTTTTTTTTTTTGGATATGTATTTTATGGTGCTTAGGGGAGATTTTGAGGATGTGTCTTTAGTGTCCTATAAAGATGGTTTTATTGTTCCTTAAGTGTAATATAAGGCTTCTGCATATATCTTTTCTCTGCACACTTAAAATTCCACAAAAGGGACCTTTTCCTTTTAGTGTCCTAAGATTCAGCAATGTTGGCCATGAGGAACCAGCCTAATAAATTTCTCTCATTTTTTTCCTAAGATATAAAAGAAAAAAAGGACATGATTTCTTGAGATGTTATTAACAGTTTTTTTTCTGGTCAGCTTAATGTGAAACAATTTTGCTCTTGGATAGAATAAATTCATCTTCATTAATGAAAATGAGGCCCTAATGTAATCAGAGTTTATATAAGAACGTCACCTACCCTGTCTATTTTATCTAAACTGGCACTAAAATACCTTGGCATGTTTCATATGTGGAGACTTTGTATAGCTGCTGCCCTTGAGCCTCTTTTCTTGTTCTATTTTCCAGGTGTGCCACCGAGCTTCTGGTCAGGTGATGGCTCTTAAGATGAACACGCTGAGCAGTAACCGGGCAAACATGCTGAAGGAAGTGCAGCTCATGAATAGACTCTCCCATCCCAACATCCTTAGGTAATGGCTTTTTTGTCCTTCTGGGGATCAGTGAGAAAGATGAAACATCGTTGGAGGCTTCTTAGAATAGCATTAAGCTAAAAAGAGGGATTTGGAATTTTCTGCTGACTCAGTCTTGCTGGAGATTAGCTGTGCTGTATGTAGGTCTTTTTCTACCTATTGAGACATAATTTTCTGGTAATTGACTGCATTTAGTAAAACAACTTCCTTCTGTCCCTCAAATTGCTTTACTCTTAGTAGCAACTCATCAGAACTGTTGTTTCCTATTGTTGAACTGGTAATTTATCAAAGAGAAAAGATTTTAGTCTTTATACAGTATTTAATTTTTAATTGCTTAATAATTTAATTGCTTAATAATTAAATCAGTGAATGAAAATTAAAAATTCAGCTATGCCTCAGACTAGCCTTAACTTTCAGTACTCACTTTAGGTGACATAGTTTACCTTTTTAAAAGAGGATTATTTTTATATATAATAAGTTTACATAATTATCACTTTCTAGTAATCAGCATCTGAATCTTCTTCACTCTGTCTTGTTTTTTTTTACTGAGGTGAGTATATTTCCAAATGAAACTATGAGGGAGAAGAAACTTTCCTTTGCTCTCCTAGGTTCTTTCAGCTGATCTAATAATTAAATCTACATGAGACAGATTAACAAGAGAAAATAACCAAATTTAATTACATATTTACTCATGAGGACCCTGCATATATGGAAGAATCAAAGTCCCTCACATACATGGGAGTTCAGAGACAGAAAAGCAAAATGAAGTATATATGACATTCTGAGCTAAGGATGAGGTAAGGCACTTTGGGGCTTCAGTGGGTCATTGCAGGGGTGATAAGAAGAGCAAATGTTCAGTAATTAGTAGTTTGCCCTGCCATATAGATAGGTCAATAAAAGCTTATCTCTGATAATCTCTTATTATGGGCAAGGCCCCTAATTCAAATTCTTCTAGGTAGTTAAAGGTATGGGGGTGGGAGGAAGAAGTTTCCCTTGAGCCTGCAGGGTCTAGGTTCCTTTAGCTCAAAATAATCTGCATACCACAGAGGCACATCTTGGGGTAACTTGTTCTGAACTCCTGCAAAACCAAATAAGACAATTTAAGTCAATATATATTTAAGTAGGGCTTATGAATAAGACATTTTGAAAAGTTAAAAGTTCTATTTACCTAGGGTCATTTATTGCTAATATTTATATTGGACTAGAGAGAAATCATATAGCTTAAATATGCTTTACATCTTTGGTCAGCAGTAGTAAATTATGGAATTAGATTATAATGCTTACTTGAAACTTCTGTCTTTATATAGAATGATTGGCTTCCTAGTCCACTATGAAAATGTTCAGCATGTATTTTTATTATGATGATTCTCTCCCCAGTCCACAGATCAAATAACATATTTTTGGTGATGTGTCAGACATCAGAAAGGTATAAAGGTATATATAAAATGGAATGTCTGCTAGCAAGGAATTCACACTCTAATTGGGGATCTAGGACTTACATACATGAAAAGAGAACTAATAAAATCGGCTGGGAGACAACCACTTGGAGTAGAGCAAACTCTAAGTGCTATAGAAGTGCAAAGGAGCGAGAGATCATATTAGGTTGGTAGAGTTAGGGAACTTTTTTTGGAGGAGGTTGACTCTAACTGGAACTTGAATTTTAATAGGACTTTAGAAGATAGGGAAGAAACTCAGAGCAAAGGAGCAAAATAGTAAATAAAAAGCAATAAAGCAGAGGTTAAAAGTACAAAGTTTTTTAAAGACTCAATGAATAAAACTCCCATTTGGCTAATAATACCAATAATGAGAAACCATTTATTGAAGGCTTGTTGTATGATGGATGCTTTACCTATTTAAAGATTTAATTTTCACAGGTATTCTCCATTGAGAGAACTGAGGCCAAGAGATTATGTGTTGGCTAAGGCCTGTGACTCTGAGGCCTAGAGTCTTCTACCATGCTTTTCCTAGAATAACTGAGGATTTGATAGGATGGTATTGGTAGATAAAGGTAGAAAGGTAGAATTGAGCCAAATTATTTGGAAATGCTTTACATGAAGCCAGGAAAATTATATTTAATGTCCTGTATATTGAATTCTGACCAGGGACTAGCTCGACAGAGAGTAATGGATGGCAAACAGAGAAATGGTTTAGCGTTGGGAGACTAAATGTTTGAGAGTGAGATGGAGGAAGCTTGATTTAATATTCTGCTTTAGAATTTTTAAGCTCATCTTATTTTCATCTTCCTTAAAAAACATTTTTATTGTTTTTGTTACTATCATAGAAGTGATATATCATTGCTATGAAACCTATAGAAAGTAGAGTTAGCAAAAATAAATAAATAAATACAAATAAAAACTGCCCTTAATCTCAGCACCTAGGGATCAAACTAGTATTAACACTGGTATATTTCCTGCCAACTTTTTTTATGTCACTATTTCTTTTCTTACTCTCTTCACTGTGAACTTGACTGGTGAATGCATCGGAAGATTGACTTTAAATAATTTTACTCCATCACAGCAAACTTTAAAAAATATAGTTGTTATATAATAGAGTAGTACAGTATAGTATAATGATCAGAAATGAAGGCTCTCGATTCTAGATCGAGATGCCTGGATTTAAATCCTGGATCTTGAGAAAGTTGTGTAACCTCTGATCCTTAGTTTTCCTGCCTATAAAATGAGGGTAATGACAGTAAATACATCAGAGAGTTGTTATTGAGGATTAATTAAATAGCACATACAAAGCACCTAGAATATCACCTGGCTCGTGGTAAGTATTCCATGTTAGCTCTTCTTATTAGTTTCTTTTCCGCTGGCTAACGCTTTAAATGGCCCTTTGAAGCCTGTCTTTTATCATTCATTCACTCACCAAACATTTGTGGCGTGCCTGCCACTGTTTTTAATACATTCAAGGGGTTTCTGCTAGACCAAGGCTGTTGAGAAGAACTTTCTGCAGTGATGGAAATGTTTATCTGTGCTATCCAATATCCATATACGGCTAATGAGCACTGAAATGTGGCTGGAATGAACAAGGCACTGAATTTTTTATTTGATTTGATTTAAATTACCACATGAAGTTAGTGGCTACTGTATTGGACATTACTGGGCTGGAGTCCACCTACATCTTTGATCTTATTTCACAAAATACATGTATGTGTGTTCCAGCTTAGAAATGTGTTGTGATGATTCCATTCCTGTTATGATGTCTCCTTGAGTTTCTTGGCCTATCTCTTTTTGGTCCTGTTGTTCAGGAATGACACATCCCTCCCTTTTAACTTACAAGAAGTAATATTTTTTGTTCTCAGCTAAATTTTCTAATATAGAAAAGATAGTGTTAACACTATCTTGATCTTCACAATAAGCCAACAAATGAGAGAATGTGTATAAAGCACATGGACTTGTTATAATCCACAACTATATAATACATGAAAATTATTGTAATTATTGTTAACCATGGTGGGTTTACACTTGGATGGTGACTCTTTGTTCTGCATAAGCCATCTGTCTCAAATATACTGCAGTTAAAAGCCTGGAAGTGGTTTACTTTTTAAAAGAAGCTTCTTATTGTTCATAACTTTTATGTTTTTATGTCTTCAATTCCATTGTATATTTTGAATACAACAAAAGGAAATTATCTTACTAGTGGCCTAGAGCAAACAGAGTCCTCTTGGCTTTCATTACTCATTGGAGTTCTAACTATAGCAGAAGAAACATTTATTATACTTCCCTAGGACACCTTAAATATCCAACTGAACACAACTGTGTTATCTTCTAAAAATTCTTAGTATTTTTATTTCATAAATACTTTTCTAGTTGTCTTAGAAATTTACTAAAACTTTTTTTTTTTAATATTTAAAAATTTTTGTGACTGTTAGCATGGCTCACAGTCTGTTTTCAAAACAGTAAATATTTTAAGCTCTCTTTTATAAGTGCAGAAGCTGAAGCAGAAGTATGAACCAAAGTTTTCCCTCAAATTGAGATTATTAGATTTAAATTGGGAAGAATCCACCTCTTGGAACCCTACAATTTTCACAGAGATGCCTCCTTGGGACTGACCGCAGGAGGGAGGTTGCTCAGCAGATGAGGTTTTCAGTTCCCTTCTCTTTATCCAGCCAGAGCCACCTCCACTTTTTTTTTGTTTTATATTGAACTGTTGTATAAGAGTTTTGAAGAAAGGGTCTCCTGCTTGTAAACAAAGAAAAAGTTTAAAATCATTGTATTAGTGATTTGGAAAGTCTATATGGAAAAGAAGGCTATGTGCATGACATGGGAGATGCAAGGCATCTATTCCTTTAGGCACGCCTTGGTCCTCTGCTGGCACAGCTATTTTGTGCCCAGCAGGAGTGAGTAAGCTGAACTTCACAGTTTTCTCTCCTTTTCTTAACCCTAATCTCCCTACTTCCTCTTTTCCTTTTATCTTTCTCTCTCCTAAGATTTCTAGTTGGAAGGAAAAGAGTGGGCCTCGTAAGTCATAGAGGCAATAGGTATGTATATTTTGTTTGTTTGTATATATTTTTTTAATACATGGATACAGTTAAGATTGGTTGTTTTATCATTAGTTGCTCTAGGTTATCAGTTAAAAAAAGGAACAATAAAGTGCTTTGTTGAGTGCAGGGACTGATTGTCTGGGCCCCTTGTGAATAAGGTTGTTTATGCCAGGAAGTCTTGTGCTTAAGATCTGTAACCCAATTCCGTGCCCTGCTCACTTCTACTCCCCAATGGCCTTTCTGAGGACCTGTACCAAGACTTGTTCTCATACCTCTTTGTTATTCTTCATACTCTGAGAAATTTAATATTTTTTTTATAGACTCCTCATTTCATTCTCATGCTTTTTTTTTTTTTTTTTTTTTTTTTTTTTTTTTTAGGCCACATTTGGAACTTATTTTCCTATCTACTAGTTTTTGTTCAGAATCATTTTAGCTCTCCTTCAAAATCTATTTGCAACAGTATGATTGACATTTTGTTAAAATGGAGAATATGCTTTCAATTCTCCAAATATTT